AGTCGTCTTCAACTTACTCAACTTGCCGATAATACAAAACTGTGAGGACTTGTTGTTACACCAGAAGGTTGTGCTGCCATCCAGTGAGACTTGGACAAGCTGGACCATTGGACAGAGAGGAACTTGATGAAACTCAACAAGGGCAAGTGTAGGGTCCTGCACCTTGGGAGAAACAGCCCAGTGCACCAGTAAAGGCTTGGGTCTGACCCACTGGAAAGCAGCTCTGCGGAGAGGGACCTGGGTGTCCTGGTGGACAAGCAGTTGACCATGAGGATGCCCTGTGCCAAGAGGGTCAATGGGATCCTGGGGTGCATCAAGAGGAGTGTGGCCAGCAGGTCAAGAGAGATTCTCCTCCCCCTCTACACTGCCCTAGTGAGGCCTCATCTGGAGTACTGTGTCCAGTTCTGGGCTCCCCAGTTCAAGAAAGACAAGGAGCTACTGGAGAGAGTCCAGTGGAGGGCTATGAAGATGATGAGGGGACTAGAGCATCTCTCCTATGAGGAAGGGCTAAGGGAGCTGGACTTGTTTAGCCTGAAGAAGAGAAGACTGAAAGGGGATCTTAGAAATGCTTATAAATATATTGAGGGCGGGTGTCAAGAGGATGGGGCCAGACTCTTTTCAGTGGTGCCCAGCAACAGGACAAGGGGCAATGGGCACAAACTGAAGCATAAGAAGTCCCAGCTGAACACAGGGAAGAACTTCTTCACTCTGAGGGTGACGGAGCCCTGGATCAGGCTGCCCAGAGGGGCTGTGGAGTCTCCTTCTCTGGAGATACTCAAAACCACCTGGATGCCGTCCTGTGCAGACTGCTTTAGGTGACCCTGCTTTAGCAGGGAAGTTGGACTACACGATCTACAGAGGTCCCTTCCCACCCCTACCTTTCTGTGATTCTGTGAAATCAGTACATAATATGCTAAAAGACAGAGTGCCCATCATAAACTGAACAACCTACAGTACTTCATGGGCAAATCCAGACAATGTAGTATCAAAGTTTTTAATGAATATTCTGAGCACATATTTAGCACACATTCAATAGTTACCAAAATAAACCGTGTATGAGAGAAAATAACTAAGAGAAGTGCACTATATAACACATAAGGAATTAAACAGAAAAGAACCCCAGCTTTGATTCAAGTCGTCTAGAAGCTGACTCTGCCATGTTGCCCGCTGATCAACAGCAGACGATGATATGCTTGCCGCTCACTACGCTGCGCAACAAAAAAACCTGAATGAAAAAACCTCACTTTCAGTCGAGCTTTGTGGCTCAGAAGGAGCTGTATCTGTCTTGTCACCTAGAAAGCACAGACTTTTAAGAAGATTCAAGAGAAGTCTAAAGCAGTCAGGGGGTGAATTGCTTTTCAGTGTCAAGACCGAGTAAGGATTCCTGAAAAGTTAAGTGAGGTTGGGTGCCTTTCCCTCCAGCAACCAGCTGTGTAAGTTTTCTCCCACTCGGTATAAAAACAAAAAGCTGGCATAAACTCCCTCCAAGCAGTCAGAGTACATGGTATAAAGCCAAGTAGATGTTCATGACCTGTCATGATCAGATTGACCACTGTGACAGTAACAAAGACAATATAAACAAATCACCTAGTACTAACAACTAAAAAAATACCATTTGAGAAAATGAAAAAAACCATAAAATTCATATTCACATCTGAATTCATAAGTCAATGCCCATACCCAATGCAATTATTTAATCCTTTTAAACAGGTACTAGCTCTTGATTAAAAACAAGACACAACAACAATCAACTGCTTTTGTTATGATTTCTAGCCTTAGCTTTGAAAGAAATTGTAAAAACATGCACACAATTTATATACACTAGGCTTAAACCAAAACAGCTATACAAAACTGACCAGAGGGGGCAGGGCAAACTACGAGTTCTCCTCATTAAATTTGGAAAATGAAAGTAAATCTCCAAATATATTACCAGGCAGAATAAATCCTAGTAGGCTAAAACATGCCATCCCCCAAATTACACAAACCGCACTACCTTCCTTTTGCATATTGTGTATCGCTACAGTATTTAATCACAATAACCAGGAATGACTTCTGTAGAGGTTAAACCAAATGCAAGGAATTCCTAACGTCTAAGTAAACACTTGCAATGTATCTTCATGTAAAAAGAGTACCTCTCCAGCCATCTCCAGGGGTTCTCTTGCAGAAGAAACCACCATTTTACATGCCAATCAGATTATAAAACAGAAAAATGCTAGATTTAACAGGAAGTGGATTGGTCTGATCACCAATGCATGCACAACAAAGAAACAAAGCATCCTAACACAGAATGGTTTCACGTTGCGCGTCGTTACAGACATCTTAATAAAACAATCATTTTGACACGGTGGAAGCTTGAAGGGAGGCTCAGTAAGGGCTAGTGCCTTGGGCAGAGTATCATTCTAAGACTGCCTTCTACTGCAATTTTGTTCTTTACACCTGACAAATCTCTGCCAACGACTACTCTGCTTCCTGTACACATTTTATTTCTAACTGTTGTTTGCACCAAGAGGCAGACAGTACACCATTTTAAAATAAAAATCATAACAATTTTAGGACTAGTGAAAAATCAGATAGTTTGACAACAAAGATAGCTCAACCTAGCTGCTCGTAATCAAGCTTCCACACCAGTATCTGTAGGAAACACTCCAAAGAAACTGATGCACTCATTTCCAGCGTAACTGCAGAAACCTACCTGGCTTGACTACAGGAAGAAATAGGACAGCATTTTACGTGAGCTGCTCAGTCTTCATACCACTACTCTTCCAAAAGACAGACAAGCTCATTTTAAATTAGCTCTGCTGCCCGCATGCAGTGCCATAATGTGATACAAGCATGCATCACTCCTGTGCTATGCTAATACATCTAACAGACAAGGGTCTCCTGCCAGACCACTCACAACAAACCAATATCCATCACACAGATTCTGGGTTGTTTTTCTAACCTGTCACCCTCCAGGTCTACGTCTTCCTCCATCTTCATAAAGCAAGTTCCTCAGAGCAGCAGCTTTTTTCCCCCTCTTAATATTACAATGTTTTTTTCTTCCTGTGCAGCCCTCTCATTTATGGAAGGCTGTCTGGAATAGAGAGGTTATATCTATCTTAACAAGTACCAAGGTATGGGACCTCCTTTTGGGACAACAATAAGAGGAGACACATAAAGCTGAACGGCTGGTGTCGAGAGCTGGGAATGTTCACCACCTATACTTTTTTACTTCACTTTTGGGGAGTTTGATGGTTTCTAATTCAACTTAACTCCAGTTTGATCCCATACACCAACTGCCATTAGCAGCTGAAGCACATGTTCTGCTTCAGCTTCACATGAAAATGAGTCAGCTTGTAGGCTATAAGACTGCTGTGCGACAAAAACCTGGGCACAGTAAGTGGAAAGGACGGAGACTTGCTTCAAAAATGCACTCCAGATCTGAACAAAAACATTAATGTAGAAGCACTCTGAAACTGTAAGAACTAAACCACTGTAAGAACTAAACCACGATTTAAAACTTTGATTGCTATTCTACCTTTTACTATTATAAATCCTTAGTCTCTTCAAGAAGCAAAGCCATATTATGAGCTCAAACATGACCTGAAAAAGGAAGCTAAAATTTTAGAATTGTCATCTATGAGTAACTGGATTTCGCAGAAATAGAGAATTAAGCCTTGAGAATTTCTATGCACACTTCGAGCGGAGTAAATAAAAGAAACCCTACCAGCTTAAAACTATCTCCTTTGCTTAGAAAGTTGGCCACACCATGAAGATAACATGGTTTCAGGGCTTCCATGCTGATATCAAACAGATAAAGACTGCATGTTTCTGAACTTAAATTCATACCTTCCACATCGCTCTTACACAACATATATATACATTAACTCACATACATATACATAAGAGAAATTTGAAGTCAAACACTTCTAGGTAGCTCGCATGCATTGCCAGTAGGTCCACTGGATGAAGTAAAAGTGTTTCTGTTTTACCAGTGGTGAAAGTAAAACATAGAAAGATAAGCACTATCATCAGTGAACAAAAAGCATTAATGCTTTACTAGGTTTCAAAAACCTACTGAGCACATATGTAAATCAGAAACTGATGACATTAAGATACTATTAAACACAGAAGGAAAAAAAACTTCTACCCAGTAATGTTTTCAAACAGAGTAGAATGGGGCATGACAAGATTTAAGGATTTCAGAATCACTTGAAAACTCATAGTACAAGATTTCCCCCCCACATACTTGTTACATTTCAAATTTAAGTTTCACTGAATCATCTAACATTCTCTATCAATCAAATGTCTGTTACATGCTGAAAGGATGAAAGCTGCTGAGCACACTACAAATAAATACCACATGAATACAGAAGGCCTTTCCAATTTACAACTCAAATACACCTATGTTTTTATCACCAGTCAGCAATACAGTTCAGGCACTGTACTGTTAAGACACCACAGTTGCTTTTCCTACATCTGAGCTAGATCTCTCACGGCTGCTAGCACTTAAAGAAAAGAAAATCAGCAGAAATACCGGAGTCAGTGTTCATTCTGAGTTTATGTTACATGGGTGACTGATCTTAGTGTCTACGATTGCACAAAGCTCTGACTGAAGTTATTTCTGTAGTAACATACAAGTCCTCTCCCTTCTCCTGGTCACTATCGAAGAACATAGAACATGTAGAGTCATGTAGTACATGAGTATATGTAGAGTGTCCTCCTTTTACCTAATCACTTATTGAATTTTTTCTTAATTTTTTTTTTTAAGATCTTAATTACCTGTGACAAGTTTATCTCACTGGTGAAACAAGCCTAAAATTTTGAACCTGCTGTGAAGAGAGACAAAAACAGGCAGAGTAGTCATATGGTTTACTTGCAGAAGGTACCAAGAATAGTAAGAAAAAAGGGTTTGTTTGGTTTTTTTTCCCCACAACATGTAGTAGCACACATGATGAGAATGAAGGAAACAATCATAACTATGGGTTAAGACTATCTGTGACTACCTTCGTTATACTCACATAGTAGGGTTCAGCTTCCCTTTCCGTTATCTCATCCTGATACAGAGTGAAACAGGTTGGTATTCGTCCAAACCACACATCTCGAAGTACATCTTTGTCATCTGTCATTCTCCCAATGGATAGGGAAGTACATGTAGACCAGCTTGTTTCTTCAGCTAGAACTGTAACCCCGCTCCCCCCAAAAGAAACAAGTCAGCACGCCTGCGAGTAAAATACACCTCGTTAAATTAGGTTCTCCCTGCAAGCACCACCAACGCTGTCACCGAGGCAGGTGCTAAACGCACCCGTTTGTACAAAGCAGGGGACATGTTAGGGCCTCCGAGCTGACACTTTCCCGACCACTGACACACGGCGGACAACGAGTAACCGAGCGTCTCCCAAGGCTGCATCACGGCCCAACCACAGAGGCGAAGGGACCTCTCCCGTTGCCGCCCCGCAGTCACCCCACGGCT